TCATTTTAAGTGGGGGAACTTGCACAATCGGTGGCTGACTAAATACTTTTTTGCCCCACTGTATCTACTATGAAACATTTAGTCACAGGTTATGGTTAGAAGTTTACTTTCTAATGTGAGCCAATTCTGATCCAAGTTGAAAGGGCCGCCTACAGATAAAGCTTAGACCCAGACAGAGGTCTAGGTTTTTATTTTATTTTTAAAGCTATCGCAGTTACTACTATCGGTATATCCTGGTTATTTCCCACCGCTGCACATGTCAATCAATAGTATTCCTTACTCCCATTCACCTCAAGTTAAACTCCGTACCTGACCTCATTTTTCGCCTCTCATGATTATTCCCCCTTTAATCGCTACAAGCTGGTGAATTTGACCTTTTCTTCTATGACTGTGAAGCCCTGCAGCGCCTTTGTCTGTAGCTGTAGTGGAATGAATTCAATTGTTTTTTAAATTTTGTGTTGTGCACTCACTGGTCTTCGTTGCGAAACACCATCCAGATGATGCTGACACCAATGCAGAGGGCCGACAGCAGCAGCATGCGGATCTGCGGCCGCTTGTGCAGGTACGGCAGGTTGTTCTCCGGGATCCTTTTTTTCCAAAACATAGGTCAGATGTCAGCCACTACACCACAGCACTTTCTCTCAGAGAAATACAGTCACTGCTAAGCATGAAATGCAACTAAAAAGTGTTTTTATTAGCATTAATCTGCAGATAATCATGTTAACCATGTATCATTTGGTCTACAAACACAAGAAAAAAAGGGTGTACAGAAGAAACAGGAAACAACTGCTCAATCCGCATTGCTGAAAAAAATATAAAAAAAAGGTTCCTAAACCGTTCATCATGCTGTAAGTATAATGAGTATTTAAGTATTTATATGAGCTTTTCTGTTTCCAGGGTGGAGTGATTGTACAGCAGGCATCTTTATTGAATTTAATAAATAAGAACTGGGCGAACAAGTTTGAATTTATTTTAGATTTGAGAAGCTCAAACATATATATACCCTGACTAATATTTGGTTGAATCATCAAGTTGCACCTTGACCAGACATAGAAAACATAAATGAATGGAGAGAAAAAAAAACCAAATGTCATGCTGTTTAAAGCATCATCGCACCTGCTAATATGACCTGAAGACTCACCTGCACTTGCAGAAAGGAAGTCTCCTGACGAACGGCCACAGGCAGCTGTACAGGCCGACAGAGGAGGCCAAACAGAAGATCCTGATGACCCAAATGGCTAAACAGTGAAGAAACAGCAGACAGAAGCTGAGTAGATATTACCGTGTGAGGAAACCCGCTTCTTTGGCATCCCCCCTCCTTAAACGCCTGAATAGTGGTATTGCTTTCCCTTTTGTACACTATTGCCATCCGCAGCTTTCAGCAGCTTTTTAATCTGTTTAAAGGCGAAATGTTATCTCAACCATTGAGCTCTTTATCAGTGCAGCCATTCTTTACACTCAGCAGGGTTTGACTCTGCTGCAGCTTAATGCCAGACAACAGGCAGCTCTGCGAGAGGAAATGATCTCTGAAGAATCTCAGTTTACCCTGGAGCTAAATGGAGAGGGGATTATTAATTTAATAAGATTAGTTTAGAAGCTTGGACTTTTTAACCAGAAATCCTGTTTTATTCATTTTGTGTATTTTCTTGTTGCACCTGTGTGTGATGTGCATTTTTTTTAATTTCTTCACCCTTCTTTTTTTATTTTTTTTTTATTCACAACCTATTCTACTGTATTGCATTTTATTCTTTACTTATTTTGCTCATTTAATTGATTTTATTTAATTGAGCTCCTTTCTATTATTTGGTTTTTACCTTAAGTAAAACTTGCTTTGTTGTATTGTCTTTTTATTTTGTTAGCAAAATATTTATTCTACTTATTTAAGCTAGTTTTTAAAGGAGGAAAGAGGCAGCAATGTTAAAGGCTTAAGACACTGATGGTGAGCCTTCTATCATCATGGACAAAGTGAGACTGCACAACAACAGGATTAACAAGCCAGCGGACTTTATGAGTTCAGTGCCAGTGATTCCTCCTGTGCATTTTTGTCTAATTTTTCTGGGGATTCTGGGGAATGGAGTCTAATAGACTAAGTTTCATCATCCGAGCGACATACAATGTGCTACCTTCCATAAATGTTAAAGAGGTACATATTTCTCAGCTGCAGTGAATAGATAGAATAAACTGTAGAAAACTAAACAGGAGAAAGAAGAAAACAATTTTAACATAAACCATTGACACACTGATCAACCCTGGCAGGGCCTCCTTGGATGAGGGTGTCTAGTGATAATGACCGAAACAACCGATGAATTCAAGGTCCACCACTGACGATGTGTCTAAATTTTAATGATTTAGATCAGATCTCTAACCCCTAAACCTAACCAAGGAAAAATGGCAGATTAGCTTGTGTAAAAGAACAAAAGTTGAGACACATAACGATGTGTGCCACTGGTAAAGTTTCTGGGATGCTTTTCCTCATAACACCCATCCCTCAAGATTTTCTCCATTAAAAGCAATGCATTGTCAGGAATTGTGACATCTAGTCCTTTACCAAATCAACTTGGCTTTTAAATTTATCAGCAAGAGAGCAACAATATAGGAAATAATAACCGTATTCTTAATATAAGGACCTTCAAATATCAGTAAATTCCTGGAGGGAGATAGCTGAAAGTATCAGAAGTGAGATTCAGAAATGTGTAAATAAGTTTTTGTTTTGTTTTTTAAAACGTGAGCGATAGTTATGTTTACCTCGAAAGAAAACTGACCACAACAAGTAGCATGGACCCCGGAGGGGAAAAAGTGCCAGCATTTTACTTGTTTCTATCTGCTGGCTCTGCATATAAAACACTGAGACACAACGAACCTCAGCTGCTGAAAACTATGCTGCACAAACATGTAAATGAGCCGTTATCAAGGATGTACTCAGGATGGGCCTGAGTGTGTTTAAGCATTAAAGTCCAGCTTGTTTGACTAACATAATTAACGTGCTGTGCCCGGGCGCGGTTCAGTTAGACTCGGTACAGTATGCATGTATCGCATTCCCCTGCACTTCCCTCTTTAAATATAACTCTGAAAGGAAAGCGTTCCACCGCTTTCATAATAAAGTCCCAAAATCCACAAACTCATAAAACTCATCAGGCTCTGCAACAGTGTTTTAGTAAATCAGAGAGTGACTGTGAGAGAGGAGCTGCTGCCAAGATAAATGTAAGCATCCTCTGGCACAGTGTGAGCACTGGGCAGCAGGAGGACAAGTGTCCCTAATCTGAGTAAGCTACTGCATACTGTAGATAAAAAGAATATAAACTTGCCAAGTGGTGAGGAGAAATTTGACGTTTAAATTAGTTAACAAATTTGACAATGAATGCCTAGTAAATCCAGGAATTATCCATACAGGTGTTTCAGTCAAGAAAAACAAGGAAACCTGTAAGATCCAGTTAAAAGCTGCAGGCTTGAACTAAATCAGCTGCTCTGGAACCATTTTTTTGATTCTGACAGACTGTAAAAATAAGCATATCCTAAATTATCACTTCATTTGATTCTAAACTACAAAGACTTATTGCAAAAGCACCATTCTGTGTTTCTTTGCACTTCTGGAGGGTTTTTTTTTTCAAATATGTTTTGCTCTGTTTTTTTTTTTTGCACATAGCAAATGCTGGTTTTTTTTAGGTTTTGTCACATCTTTTGCACAACCTCAATCCAGAGAAAATCCCTACTGAGTGACGCCAAGCCACAGTGAGTAAGGACAAATTAAAAGCTTTGAGAGGCTAACCGCCCCCAACACACTAATGAATACTGGGCAGAAGGAACTGAAACCACCATCATTTACTGGTCCCATAAACGTGCTTCTGATCTAACGGATTTACTTATCTTTTAAATGTTTCCTTCAGCGCGACTAGTATAGCAGCGGTTATATTCTGTGTACGCTTCGTGAGTATCTGCATCGTACCCAGGTGGTCGTAGAAAAAGTAGAGTAGCACCAGCATGTTGCAGCACATGACGACGAACACACAAATCATGATCGGGGTTACGTCTACGGTCTCCTCCTCTTGTTTCTCGGCACTGTCGTCCCGCTTGTGCTTCATGTACCGTCTGCAGGAGGACAAGCAACAGTGAGTAACTCTAAAGACAAAGAGTATATATGCACACATGTTTGCTCTGAGGTTTTGTCTTTCACATTTTAAATTGCAGATTATGGTCCAATTTTTGGTGATTTACCAAAACACACGGGATAACCATATTGCCATTAAAAGTCTATATTTATAGTCATTTGGTCAGCTGGCTGGCATTCACTTCCATCCTGAGTTGAAAACACGCACTCATGATTCCAAATGTTTTTTTCTCTGCGGTGCTGTGCGTCAGCGACCCCATCTCACTCTGCCCTCCTTCACCTCAGAAAACTCCAAAAAGATGGACTCAGATTGGCTTAAGCCAATGAGTCACCCATACTCAAATAAACAGTGCTGCCCTTTACTGGAGTCGCAGCGGTAAGATGCAGATTGCTTGGTTTGAAAAGAAGAGAAGCACTCATAGTCACCCAAAAGGAAAGTCTTTTGCAATCATGCACTTGTATTTTGTTGCCAGGAAAACTCTGACCAATGTTCTCTGGAGCCTCTCCTGATGAAATATCTCTAATGTAAATTTAGCAGCTGTGACTAAATGCATCGTTTGCACTCGCTGAAGGAATTTCTTTGATACCCAATACTTGCATCATTGTATTTTTGTATCACTTAATGCAGTTTTGTTCAACCCAGACTAAAATCACTTTTTAACTTTAATTTTTTCAAAAAGTCTGAAGACTCTGGCTGTCATACTGCAGTACAGCTGAAACTCTGGCACTATGGGATTTTCCACTGAATCGCTTCCACAGAAGCACTTTTACAGGACCAGTAAACTTACTTCTTGCTGTCTCTGCTGCCGGCCCAGTAGCCTCCAATAGCCACCGTTCCTACTGCCATCAAGAAGATGATCACCATGTTATAGTCTAACACTGGCTCATTGGGTGCGTACATGGCAACCAGCTGTCCTTTACCAAAGGTCTGCAGAAGTAAGAAACAGCATTAGATTTGCCAGATGTCAACCTTCAAAACTAAATAAAACATGCCAAAATAAGGAAGTGCTACTTAATTTATATTAAATAAACCCTAATTTAGCCTACTTCAAAGTAAATTAACTCTGATGTTGTGATTATTAAGCCCAATTCAGTGCATAACACTGGACTGAAAGTCAAGAATTGCAACAAGAGTCTCCGTCATGGTGCTCAGTTTTAGATACACTTTTCCACTTAGATACATTTTCCACTCCACTGGAAAAACAAATCTGTCTGAAAAGGAGCATTTAACCAGTTGCTTCCAGCTGGATAGACGTGCCATGTGCCGTTTATCGTGTATCAAAGCTTAAACCATCTCTAAGTAGTTCCCTGAACATGTCAATCAGTTCACTGTAGTACTCAAATGGACTCTGCAGTCACCAGATCTCAATCCAGCACAGCACCTTTAGGATGTGGTACAATGAGAGATTCTCATTGTGGACATGGAGTTAACAAATCTGCAGGAACTGTGTGACACCATCATGTCAATAGGGAGCAAAATCTCTGAGAAATACTTCCAGCACTTTCTTGAATCTGTACCATGAAGAATTACAGATGAAAGGTAGTTTACCCTGCTACAAACAAGATACACATATTAAAGCATCCAGTGACACAAAATTAGAAAAGGGATAATAAGGCTAGGTGTAGAGCTTCTAAAGTGAGAAGAGAAATATCGGTTGGTAGCTGACTTCTCACCTTGCTTATATCCAACATATCAGAGTAGCTGAGCAGTGCCACAGGAATGTCAATCTCTTCATACTGAGTCTTGTTTCCTGCTGGTGGCGTCTGTAGGAAAAAAACAAAAACAAAGCACATTTCTGATTTGTCATGAACCAAAAGACCTGTTTAATTCTGACACAGAATAGCCGTGAACAGCTGTCTCACCAGTCTGTCCTTGCTGACGATGAGCAGGCCCTTGGCACCATTAATCTGGGCCAGGCGAACTTTTTCATAGAAAGTGCAGTTCCCCCTCATCACCATGGGGATGCGGTTCGGGAAGCCTCCCTCTGGGACCTCAGAGGGTGAGCACAGGACCGATGTTGTCAAGTCATGGATCTGGAGACGTGACTTTGAAACAAAAGGTTTGGAAATACTCTCAGAGGTTTCAAAATACAGTAATTAGAGATGTTGTTTGTTTTAATTAATTACCCATTATGTACTGTTTATTATTCTTTAATGGAACAAAGAAGCTTCCTCATTTAGTGTAAAAAGGGGCAGCCTTGTCATAAAAATCCTTGTACTTCTAAAAGACTAGTTTGTTTCTCATTATTTCTCATTATTGCCTTGAAGCAATTTGAAATTTTACAATGTTTGGTTAACCCCCTTTGTTAGTGACTTACTGCCTTATTGAGATCCTGAGGTAAACGTGCCCACTGGGAGTTGAAGAATATGCAGTAATCCTTTCCTTTGCTCTTGCCCTTGTCACTGAAATGGGCCATGCCGTACTCTCCCACCACCTGTCAACATAAAAACAATGGCTGGATCATCTCACATGTCCAAGAAAAAGTACATTTTTATATCACAGAGTTGAGCTTTAATTCTAGCAGCCCTATAAATGTTGATGTTTCGCTGTCTGCATCAATTTGAGACGGCATAAAAATTCCCAAAAGCCTTTTTGAAGCTATGATTAAACTATTCGTACCCCTTTTAGTTGGTTTTTGTATACCCTTCTTCATATAAACGGGGTGCACACAATATGATAAACCCTTGAATGTATAATAAAGCTCAGCAGCACTACAAACTACAGCCTTCAGTGTATAAAAAGGCTCAGTAACAGCTCCTACAATCAGGGTTCCTGCAATGTACTTGAAGTTAGATTTAAGGCTTTTAAACACATTTCTCAAATACCTCTTCTTTCTTTCTCTTTCCACATGACAATCTTTAGCTAGATTAATAGTTTTTTCACTGCACACAAAACAGAAAAACCTGTTCAAATTTTAGTTGGCTCACTCAGTTATATTGTTTCTGGCAGTGACTTGAAATATTTCACTCTTAAACTCTAATTTCAGACGCGTTCCATATTTTACAGCACTACCGCAGTCCAAGTTGTCAGTGGTTAACATCATATTCGCTGTCTCGTAATCACTGTGAAGATCACAGTGTCGGTTTCAGGTGAGGTGAATCGATCGGCAATAATCCCCCTTCATTAATGCTGCATCAAAAGGTGAGTAATGTGTGGGTTTCCAGGGCCCACAGAAATCTCCGCAAGCTAACAGACATAGCATCTATGCTAACGTTCCCGGAAAACCGCAGGGAAATAAAAACCCAAATCCTTGTTTGTTAACCGCAGGCTGCTACCCGACAAAGACGCACTGAGGGACAGTTTTCGAAGAAACAGACGTGGTCTCTCTCACCTTCTGGATGAGAAAAGCGACCCAAATCAGTGTTTCGGGGACCCTCATGATGTCTAGCTTGTTGTTGTCTTCCCCCATCGACCAACCAACCAACCAACCAAACGTTTGGCTCGAACTCCCTGCACGAGAGCCTCCAACGCCGGCTCTAACAGGCCGCGCCCATTTCGTTCGGCTAGGCTTTTTAATTGGATGATATTGTCATGTGCCACTTTGCTGTTTGGATAAAAACAGACTGCCAAAAAACGATAAAAATAGTAGCGGTCACTGACAGCACGAAAAGCCTAACATGCTTTACAGTTAAACATAGTTTTTTAAAACCCCCAACAACAAATAAAAGAGGAGTTATAGAGTTTGGTTAAAAGTTTTTCAATTCATTAGCATGAATACATAAATCAATCAATCAATACATAAATAAATA